TCAAGGAACCTCTCTCCACAGGTTGGCACACGTATTTTTAGGGGAGAATTTAAAATACCATTGGAACAAGGGTAGTGAGACTAGAACTAGACTTCCAACAGCTATGACACACAGAGCAGTTGTCTTGCTTGAGGTATCTTACCATGCCTTCCCTGGGATCATAAAATCTCTGGATGAGCTGAACAGTTGTACTTTTCCCACAGCCACTGCCACCAACCAGGGCCACTGTCTGGCCACAACTAACCTTGAGATTCAAGCCCTTCAGTATCTGTGCAGATAAGAAAGGTAACCAAAAACATGACAGTATGTTAAAATGTCAGTGTAAACTTGAAGACACTCTAAGGATTACAATAAAATATACTTCATATTTGTAGCAGAATCTGGTACAAAACAAAATTTATAAACATCTGAGTTTAAATTTTGGATAACTAGGAACCAGTTACATAGTGGAAAGACACTCTTCATGAAAATATTTTCAGAAATCATTCAAATGTCTTCTACTTCCACTACATTAAGACTCTGGATTTATGTCAGTGCTTTAAAAAGCAAACTTCTTCTCTGTCTGGACAGACAAATACAGATTCTGGTCTATATTCTGTATATAACAAGTGTTTGCTGGAACTGCTTTCTTTAACTGGTTGAGTTATAGTCTTAACAGAGCTGCATTGCAGGTACTTTTGAAACCCACTACGTCATTACTATTACTATACACAAACATTTGGGTTAGATGCATAAATTAAGATTCTGATAGCAATTAATCTTTAAGTTTTATTGCATACCACACTGACTATAGCTTTAGATAGAAAATTATTCAGAAAACCTAACATGCTTAGCTAAGGTGGAAATAATTCTAGCTAAAATCACTGTGATGTCAAGGTAGTTTTACTTAAATTATAGAATCAACTTGGAATGGTTATATTTTCAAAACAAAATTATTTGTGTGACTTTTTTCTTAACAAATGATCCATGTATTTAATTAACTGTAATATATATAAAGTTTCATTTACAGTACCTCAACATCTGGTCTGGATGGATAATTGAAGTAAACATTTTGGAATTCCACGTCCCCTTTAATGTAGTCTGGTTTGTAACCTGTCTCTGAATAACTGTCAATTTGAGGTTCCTGTGCAAAACAAAAATTTAAAAAACCGCACAACTTATTTCCTAATGATATTTTTTATAAAGAAGTCCTAGAATGCACCATTATTCTGCAGAGGTATTAAATGGAATTTTAAAGTAATTTAGGTGGTATTTCTGAAACATGTAAATTGCATGATGTTTTGCTGCCTCATTACTACACTGATGATCTGCTCATGTGAGAATGCTTTTATAATTTCTCCATTTGAGCTTTTGTGTGAATTTAGTACATTGTCTTTGAGACTGTACCCTCAGCTAGCTGTAATATGAGATTCATTTCACTGCCTGATGATTAACCTGAACAGATCATTCTAATGAGCTGTTCATACTCTGTTCATTTATAGCTTGTCCCTTTCTGCTGAAACAGTTTGTGTGAGAAAGAACTGATCCACCAACCACTAAGCAGAAACAGAGTTCTTAATTATTACTGGTTTTGTTTCCATCCAGAGTGGGTCTAGAACTTGAAACACATCTTAACAATAATCCAAAACATGCAATTGCATTTCATAGAGCTTCATTAGCTATCAAAATAACAGCTTCCCTGACTTCAGACTCTCTTGGCAATTGAAGTACATATCCAGGTTACCAGGTTGTGTTTTACTGATTGGCTGACACTCACGCTACTGTTGGTGCTAGTGATACCTTGAAACCTATGCTCATATACCTACATCGTCTGTAATCACATATCTATATAACACCATAGATGTGCCCTTCATGATAAAACATCAGAGGACACCTCCAACACCAAGTGATTCAGAGATCCAGTGCTTTTGCGTTTGAAGCAAAGAACTGATAACTCTAGAAGACAAAGAGGAACTGACTAATAATTACATCTGTCTGCTTTTAAGTTTATATTTCTGCTTATTTTACACACTGTTATTTACTCTTACTAGTTTCATATCCATAAGTAGTTCCTATACTTTAAAAAGAAGGTCACTCAGTTTTGAAATGAGAGTGAGGGCAAAGATACTCACATTGTCTATGATATTAAAGATTGCATAGGCAGCTCCTCTTGCACTAGCAAATGCCTCTATGCTTGGAGCAGTCTGTCCAATACTGAAAGCTCCAATCAATACAGAGAAAAAGACCTGTAAGAAATGTTTATGGTGACATATATCAATTCTTTTTTAAGCAGAGAATTACATTTATTTATTTACATTAGATATCTTTGGGTCAGAAGGCTCCATGTCTGTTAACAGAAGTTTAAGGAATCTAGAATAAAAGAAAAAATGAAAAGGTCTCTCTTAAACAAAGAATAATATTAAGAAAAAGGCTTTTAAATATCCAGCTGAGAACTGAGTTCCTGCACAATGTGAAGGTTGCAAACAGACTGATAAGAACTGAAAAATTGACTAAGACCTGCAAAATCTATACCAAGAAATGTATAATTACACTCGTCGTCTCAGGATTTATTGTACTAATTCATTCTTTGTCAAAACATGTTCCAAAGACCAGAAAGTGTATTGCATATCTTCCAATGGAACAAAGACAGACTTGCTAAGCACTGCTATTCTACTTCCAAAGTGACAGTGAGATAGAAGTAAACAAATACAACCTTTCCACCACAAAGTAATAAAGGGTCCATCTGCTGGAATGAAAGAGAGTGAGTGCAAGCAAACATGAAAAAAATGGAAAAAGAAAAAATATATTTTCTCAGAGAAGCATAGTTTATTGCTTTCAGCTAGTATCAAAAGTAATAAAAACACACTGCTCAGACAGATCACAACACCCATAGTACATCAGAGCAAAGGTCCATCACACCCATCATCTTTTGTTCAACAGTGGTCATTCACAGATGTGATACCTGACAAGGCAACACCCTCCCATTAATGGTGTAAAAACACCCTTCCAATAAACTACAACATAAACGTCAGAAACTGCAAATACTTTGACCTGAAAAAATTACAAGGGCATGAACCTCACTGAGATGTCAGCCTGCCTTTAAAAAAAATAAGCAGGTTAAAAAGAGCCAATAACACATATCAGCCATTTTTTTGCAAACTTGACTGATTCATAAATAAAACAAAACAGGTTTAAAAAAGATGTAAATATATAGATATGGTTTCCTGGCTGGGTTTCATCGTGTTTAATGAAGTTATTCTTCTTACCATATTTGTTTGATATCTCATATGGATTTGGAATAGTTGTCACATCAAGAGAGGAATTTAAATTATGATTTATGAGTTATGGTTTTCTTCCTTCAGTTAGATGGCAACATATTTCCTAGTCATAAGTACGTTTTTCTCCATCTCAATTTCTAAAAATACTGAGAAGTGATTCCAAGCTCTTATGGTGCAAAATATAAGAAAAGTATCAACAAAATTATCTACTTAGACCACACAACAAATTAAAAAAAAAAAGGTCCTTGCTTCTGCGCCCTGAAAATATATTCAGCCCCACAAATCTGAAAACAAATAGCAAGGAGGAGGAGTATTGTACTTCAGTTTTTGATTGAACTGTTTCTATATCAGTCTGATCTTATGGAATTCAGAAAAGATGTAGAAACAGTTGAAAATATATTTGGCTTGTGTACATTTTGAGACACTATAGAAACAATACGTAGACTTTTGTGGTGAGAATCCTTTTGTTAAGAAGAAGGGATATTATTTTGCTGATTTTGGCACATAATTCTTATTAAACTCAAATAAGTTCCCAATGTACATGTAAATGTATTTTCTTTAGTATTTCTCACCATTATTGGGAATTTACTCTTTTATACTTACTGTAAGAACTTTGCCAATAGTGTAATCATCAGATATGACCAAGGTAGTTCCATACCAGAAGGCCAGTGCGTATGATGCATATATCAGGAAGAAAGCAGCACCCATAGAAATATTAGATGTAATAGCTTTTCGTATTCCAATATGTTTAGCATCTTCTAAATTTTTGTGGTACCTGGAAGAAAGATAGAAATTCAATATAGACTCAGATGAACTAGAAAAAGAACACTCACAAAGTAAAAGATATATAAAATATATAACCCTAACACTGTACAAAGGTAAGCCTGGTAGTCGGGCACAGAGACTTTAAGGTAACTCCTATAAAGGCCAACATCAGTTGACCTGGTCTATAGAGAAAAGAAAGGGCATTGCAGTTCAGGGACTGGCATTCAAGATGTAATCTGCAGGTCAATAAACTTTGATCATGAACCATCCATGACATGTTTTGAGATTATAATCATTAGCTTAAGATAAAAAGGTAAAATATATCACAAGAATGATTTACAGTATAATAGAGATATTGTTTATTAGTACCTTCACAACAACTACTGAGTAATCAGATTACCAAGGATACCATCACCTCTTCTCACGCCAGGGCCTTTTTTTTTTTTTTTTTTTTTTTTGTCTAAAACTCTCCTGTGTAATGTTTAAAGCAGTTTGTACACTTTCTACAGTAGAGACAATACATCAACTTATTTTGTCATTTTCTAGAAAAATATCTGATTGACCTTCAACATGTAGTGAAACTTATAATAGCCTGTAACAGACTATCTCCCATTACCTGAAAACACAGGAAGCACAACTTACTTTTTTTGACAGACTTTCAACAGCAAAGATACAGGAAAATTTCAAACCATCTGAAGAGAGTACTTTAAAATCAGCTGATGAAAGCAAATATTGGTCTTACCTTTTAATTTCTTTTTCCTGTCCTCCAAAAGCTATTACAGTACGGACTGCTGCCAGAACTTCCTCTGCAACAGCACCTGCTTTTGCATATGCAGCTTGTTCTTTGTCAGTGAAAGAAGATAGAACCTAATACAGGATCAAATATTTTGACTTAAAAAAATGGAGCGAGCTCAAGCACTTCATAATGGCTTCCATCACAGTTACTTTCTTCCAATATGAAGCCTTTTGATTATGTACAAGTGCAGAATGTTCAACATCAAAATCCCTAAGTACATTATGAATTCAACCATATAATTCAACATTAGCCATTCTCAACAACTAAGGGCTAGATTTTCCACTCTGCTTTCACCCAGTGCAGATTATATGACTACTCATACTGAGCTGGTGTGGTTCTCTTTAGGCAGATCTCCTCAGCATATTGTCATCTCTGGCTACCTTACCCAGCAGAATTTATAGCTTACATTAATTTGCCACAGTTCATGAAGACTCTTAACCAGGAGACGTAGGTAGCACATGCTTCTCTACTCCTACCTCTTCCACAATATACTCACTCAAGACAGAGAAGGCTTATAAGATCTTTGAAATGTAAGGGAAATAAAATACTATGAAAATCTGAAGGCTTCCAAACTACAAATATAAATCACTCCAATCCTATGGTAATTTAGTACTTCTCTCACCAAAGTCTGTCTAAAATTTCTCACCAAAGCTGTTAACAACTCTGAAAAGAAACTCAGTGTCTGAAACCAGGGCTTGGTCTGACTTATTCACTTATTTTTCAGCAGGTGCAATTACTTCTTTCAGCAGAACAAGTACTAATGTGGATGAAGTTTAACAGTTACAGATGTGGATTCTACTCATATGTCTTGCATCTTTTTCTTTATAAAAATATGCTATATTGGTAGAAACAGCTTCAAATCAAACAAGTCTGTCCAATCTACAGGAATTATAATATTCAAACTACATGAGGGTACTTATATACAGTTCATCTTAAGAACTTATGTACATAGATGGTGTCTAAAGCTATAATTGTTCTAAGCAATACATTCTAACAGTAAGAATCACATGTATGTAGATTTATTTCATTATCTCTCATTAATATAAAACCCGACACTGAATGTATGTTAACATACCTTTGCCCATATGGCTGCTGAAAGTCCCAGGACAGGACTGACTGCTAGTATTACAAGGGTTAATTTCCATCCTCTTATGAGACCAACAATAAATCCTGCTAAAAATGTTGTTACTGATTGAACAAGCAGTCCCATTTTGTCACCTATTCCTTCATTAATCTTGGAGACATCACTGAAAAACAAATTACAACCAGACAGGAAGGAAAATTTAGAAAGCACAAGAAAGCTTTTCAGTTTTGTTACATGAGCATCTGTGTAGAGGACAATCCTTTTTATTCAATTACTTCCAAACAACAGTTTGCTTCAAGGTAAAGCACTATATAGTGTTGTCAAGGAAAATGTCACATTTATTTTTCAAATGTAATGCTATAAACCTGTTTTTGTCTGAAAATGTTGAAATTCTGCCTACATAGAATCATAGAATAGTTTGAGTTGGAAGGGACCATGGAGGTCATCTAGTCCACCCCCCTGCAGTAAGCAGGGACATCTTCCACTAGATCAGGCTGCCCAGAGCCCCATCCAACCTCATCTTGAATGTTTTCAGGGACAGGGCATCTACCACCTCTCTGGGAAACCTGTTCCAGTGTTTCACCACCCTAAGCACCCTACAGTGCAAGGTTAGTTTCACTTTCTTAACTCCAAATTTTTTATCTGTTTATAAACTGTGGGATATCTGGAAAAAAAAGGTAAAGCCTTTTGTGTACACAAAGAGAAAGGAATAGCTTGTCATGCAGTTAAAGGTGTTCACATTGCTGGGGTCAGTCAGCACCTTGTTCAGTCCCCAGTGAGCACATAAGTGAACTATATTTTCTCTTTGTGGGGGTAATCTCATAGGCTGGGCTTTAGTCATCCTAAAAGTTCAAGAGAACTTATCAAAATGCTTTTCTGCTACCCCTGTGAGAGTCCAGTATCAGAAATATCAGAAGTTCAGTCTCTCAGACTGTCTATGAGAAAACTTGAAAACTTCATATGACAATGAAATAATTCAATTTTTAAAAAAATTGTAACTCATACATGCTTAATAAGATAAAATAAAATTGGGAAAGGTATAGTATACTTACTCTAGAAGTCGAGTGTTAAGTTCTCCCACATCATTTACATCAAACCATCCAATATCCTGTCTCATAATTGCATGAAAAAATTTTTCTCTAATTTTTTTTATTTGCCGGCCTGCTGCTAGAGTCCAAAATGAAGTTTGGATATAGGCAGCAAGGAGAACACCAGCTGCTATTCCAGAATAGTAGTATGCATATCTGAAAGAAAAAAAAAGAAAAGAAAATATTCTCTGAAATTACTTCTAATTACCTTGCTAGTTAGTATTTAGCTTTATGCTTACTTCTGTTTCAGACCTGAATTAAAGTTTATATGTTTATACTGGAGTTTACATTTCTCTGTAAGACTTGCCAAGTTTTCAATGAGCAGTATATAATATCAGTTTTCCAATATGCAATAAATGAAATGAGCTATTGCTAGACAGGAATAACTTTTTCTTTTTGTCAATATAGTATCTATTTTCTCGTAAGATTATTTTAGAACTATATTTTATATACAATATTGCTTTCACTTAAATTTGTCATTCCTAAAAACTCCATGACAGTGTTGTTTTAACATATATAGACAGGCTTAATCATACATTCCTGTATTCACACACACATTTATATCATAAGACATGCCTGTCTATATAAATATATATATTCATGGATGCTGTAAATATTTCCCAATTTGAGAATATAGCATTACTAAATATACATCTTGTTGTGGTTTAACCTGGCAGGCAGCTAAACACCACACAGCCATTCGCTCACTCCCCTGCAGTGGGATCAGGGCAAGAATCAGAAAAAAGGTAAAACTCACTGGTTGAGAAAAAGATAGTTTAATAGGACAGAAAAGGAAGGGAAAACAATAACAATGATAAAAGAATACACAAAACAAGTGATGCACAATGTAATTGCTCACCACCCACTGATCAATGCCCAGCCAGTCCCCAAACAGCCATACCACCCCCTGGCCAACTCCCCTCCTTTTTATTGTTCAGCATGTTCAGCATGATGTCATATGGTATGGAATATCCCTTTGGCCAGTTTGGATCAGCTGTCCTGGCTGTGTCCTCTTACAGCTTCTGGTGCACCCCCAGCCTCCTCCCTGGCAGGGCAGTATCAGAAGCTGAAAAGTCCTTGACTAAGTGTAAGCAGTGCTCGGCAACAACTAAAACATCAGTGTGTTACCAGCATTATTCTCACCATCTATGATTCTATGATTCTATGATCTTAAATCCAAAATACAGTTATTATACCAGCTACTAGGAAGAAAATTTACTCTATCCAGGCCAAAACCAGGACACATCATTTGCAAGCAAATGCCATTAGATCAAAAATTATTTTGCTCCCTATTTTATTCATAACTGATATTTTACTTTTCAGTTAATTCAGCTCTGTGCTATGAGTGGGGTGTCAAATCCAAACCAGGGGGTGTTATATTTCTACATACACAAACCAGGGGGTACTATATTTCTCAAATTGGAACTGAATTTGAGCCACAGTTCTAAACTGTTCAAAGAGAATCAAATCAGACTTTATTTGATTCAGAATTGACATCAGAATCAGTCACAGGTGAACTTAAACCAGAACTAAACCACAAAAATGTAACTGAACTGACTCCCTGTTTGTAAAACACAACTAAACCAATGGCTAAATATTGAGGTGTATATTACATGTAATTGCAAGATCTTTCACTCACATATAATCAGTTATGCATACTGATACTTTAGAACTGTAGCATAAAACTTGGCAGAAGCAAACTGCAGGAATCTGTGTGCAAGTGCTTTGCTCAAAAAAGGAGAGAATGACTTGGTGATCCTTAAGGCCGTTTGATCATGACTCAATGATCTTTAAGGTCCTTTCCAACCTCAACCATTCTATGATTCTATGACTTTACAGATTAATATTTTCAAATTTCAATCCAGTCTTTTCAGTGATTAAGGTACCATACAATTTAGTCAGGGATTTTAGAACAATATACATTGTGAAATGAACTTTATCTAAATTAATGTCTAACCGAAAGCTGGTTAGTTCAGTGTTGACCTTGATAATTTTCAGCTCCATTAACAAGAACACTGCTTCAAAACTCAGCAGAGTTTTAGACAATTACTTTATGATGTTACATCAGTTCAGATAATGGTTTTATGCTTGGACTTTGTTTCATGACAAATTAATAGAGTTGAAAAATCATAGAATGGTTAGGATTGGAAGGGATCTTAAAGATCAATCTTTTTTCAACCCCCCTGCCATGGGCAGGGACACCCTCCACTAGACCAGGTTGCTCAAAGCCTCATCCAACTTGGTTTTGAACACCGCCAGGGATGGGGCATCCACAGCTTCTCTGGGCAACCTGTTCCAGTGCCTCACCACCCTCACAGGAAAAAGGTTCTTCCCAATGTCTAATCTAAATCTACCCTCTTTCAGCTACATGACCAATGAAATTTAAGAAGTGCTAAGCATGGCCAAACTCATAGAGTAATATTAGTAAACAGAGACCTTCCTGCCCAATAAACAGCAGAAAGAATCAATACAAAGCATTTAACTAGTTAGCAGGCCTCATAGGTCTTCCACAATACTTTCTCCACTTCTTTGCATGGACTGTGAAATCATAGAACAGTTTGGGTTGGAAGGGACCGTAAAGATCATCTAGTTCCACTCCCCTTTCACAGTAAAAAATTTCTTACTAATATCTAATCTAAATCTACCCTCTTTCAGCTTAAAACCATTACCCCTCATCCTGTCACTACACCCCATGTTACAGAGTGCCTCCCCATCTCTCCTGTAGCGCCCCTGTAAGTAGTTGAAGGCTGCTGTAAGGTCTTCCCTGAGCCTTCACTTCTCTAGGCTAAACAATCCTTGAGCAATTGTATCAAAAGGGATTGATATCTTTGCCAGATTCCAGGCTGATTAAATACATTCTCTAAATTCACTGCTGAAACGTAACAGAGAGCAAATGCTCACTGCATTGTAAAATAATGGTTCTTTTTCTTTTGAGAAATAGCTGGGGGTTAGGCAAACTTGTTTGAGTAACAAACACAACCAAGTCCACATGTATAGTTCAGTACTTGAACACACCTGTGTGAGAACTTTGTCCTTGTAAACGGTTGTTATTATTTGACCTGCTGGCAGGGGTTCTTAGTGAAACAGGGGTTGGGTACACACAGCTGCTTCTTTAAACCAGTGAACACACTAACTCAAGGCTCTATCTAGAAACTTCAGAAAAGAGAACCTATTCCTGTGCTACTAATAAGTAACACATTCCTCATTCAACAATTTGTTTCTAAGGAGAAATATGCTTTTTATTCATACCTGTACTTTCAGAATTAATGTCTAAAAAGACAAGGTGGCATGCACGATGTTATTAAAAGATCTCCCTCAAACAGATCATCTCTTAGTTTCATGCAAACAGACAGTTCTCAATGTTCAGATGTTGATGTAGATCTATTCACATTTACACTTTCTTTTTGCCAGCTTGTCTGTTTTCCGGTACTCTGTTCTTTAAGCAGTAGCGATTCCTAGACAATAGCCCATTGAGGACAGTGGGATGGCTCCTATTGTTTTTAGTTGAGAGGATGTGATATGAGTTCAGAGATTAAAAAAACCCCAAACCATTAATCAAAGATAGTTCTGATAACACACTACTCTTACGCCTTATCTAATTATAGTACATCCTGCTCTTAAAATACAGATTAGATATGCTTGAGCAGAAAAAAGAAGAAAATATGTTGATTTTAAAGGTGTGTCATTATTTTCATTTCAAAGTGGAAATTAAAACTCTAACGCAAATATCTTTAAAATTAAGATAAATTTGTAACAGCAAGTGATACAGTTTTAAAGGCAATCCAACCACAAGTAACAAGAGTTACTAGAAAGAGGTAATTAAACAGGTAGAAATATAGAGAGTAACTAACTGCCACAGAGAAAATAAATCAGATATTTTTTACATTTTCAAGAATAACAGAACACTCAATTAAAATTAAATGTTCTAATTTTACATTTTAACAGGAATTGTTGTTTATATGACACTTTATAAAAATACTGGACTTGTCAAAATGTATGCTGGAGGCTAAGATCTGAGTGAGTTTCAGAAAAGGAATTCTATAATTGCATATGTAGTAAGAAAAACGATTTCAAAATTTCCTTTAGAATAAACATTAAGACAGACTTTAAAAATGTTGTGCACCTAGGGATCAGGTATTTACTAAACATAGAACAGTCAGGGTAACTTCATCCATGCACAAATTATTTTGTTCTGCAATTTTGCCTTCAAATTTGCTTTCAGATCACTGGGCTCTCGTACATTCTGCTGAAGGTGTGCATTCATTCCTTGCATTCATGTCAGAGACTAACTGACAGAAATTATGTGGGAGCAAGAAACTCTGTGTATCCATACTCTCTTATAAAACATAATTGCCAGTTCTCTGTCAGCTCATTCTCATTACATACGAGGTCTTCATTTCTAAGTAACAGCCTTTCCCTAACCAGCTCTTGCTCATTTATTTTAGGGAAAAGAACTTTTTTTGGTGTAAATAGATTTTTTTAATTAGAAACTTAACTACTCAATCTAAATTATCTATAAAGTTTATAGTCCACTGTTACTAGAAATGGTCATGCACCTCAATATAAAACAGCAGGACTTACTAGAACAAATGCCTTATCTCCTTCTCTTTGGAAAAGACAATTGCCTTGAAGAATGCATCAGCATTCCTGAGATGTCAGACATTTTTCAATACCTAATAAGGAACAGACTTCAGCCTAAAGAAAAGAAGATGAAGTGCTACAAGAAAATGCATGGGACATCCTGCATAAACCAAGTCCATGGACAGTGGTTAATAAAGCCACTTACCAAAAAACATCTATTGGCAGCTGATGTTTCTGCTTATTTGCCCTTTTCTTTACGAAGCTTTGTAGCAAAAGCACCTACTGACTATTGTCTTCTGCTACTGCCAGACAACTGCTGTCCTTGGAGTGCAAAATATCCCAGAGGATGGGAGCTTTTGTCACGTCTCCTGAAACTATTGATTAAAGTATCCTTAGGATAAACTGTCTCATTAAAATTTCACATTATAATGAGATAGTGTCCTCCAAGTGTCTGATGACCTTCCTCAAATTAAGACCCTCATTCACCGAGCACGCATAGTAAAGTTAAGGAACACTGTGTCTTTAAATCAAAGTGGGAAAAGAACTAACCAACTGCAGTTAAGAAGAGATAAAAACTATCCAATTATCGTTAGAGGGACGTGGCAAAAAAAAGATGGAATTAACATTTTGAACTGTATAAATACACGATGTGACTGTAACTGGGTATGTCAGCTTTGTGGACTGCCACTTAGCATCCACCTCTGCACAGACATGTAATAAACAATATCTCGACTCTGTGTGAGATTGGCTTATTGCACACTGGGTGAACAAACCCATATTTGGGACAACAGTTGCATATAATCTAACTCAGTATTTTCTGTAGTCCAGATAATTCAGTTGAACTTGATGTTTTGGCAGCCCTGGAGGTGTTCACGAAATGTGTAGATGTGGTGCTTAGAGACATGGTTTAGTGAGTTAGGTGGTGTTGAACGCTGGACTTGATGATCCTTGAGGTCTTTTCCAACCTTAATGATTCAATTCTATTCTATTCTATACTATCTGGCAATTTTAATTTTGCTTTGTATCAGTGACTCATCATAGCTCCAGGAATCAGTGGATGATAATCAACATAAACAACTACTGTTTATAAATTCAGAGGAAGAGAAGGAAGAAGGAAGGAAATGCAGATGGCATTGGGACACAGAGCACCCCTGAAAAGGTGGTGGGATGGGTGAGAGCAAGAGATTACAGGGAAGTTGTTGGGAATGGCTGGGGATGTCAAGAATCCTCCCAGTGCCTCCCATAATCTCATGTGCAAATCTTTAATTACTTATTCAATCAACCATTGCTTTTTTGCTGTTTAAGCTATGCAAAACATCTGTGGGAGAAGAATGGTTTGACTAGAAATACGAGCCTACACTAAAAAGGAGAGGAAATATCAATTTCTAATTACCTCGTCATATCTTCTTCCAGCTTGCCAAGAATATCTGAAGAGGAATTCACTGGAGGAATGTCTCCTTAGAAAGGAAGAAAAGAGTAAATACTGTTAACAGAGCAAGTTTTAACAAACTTGTTTTCTTACATACAGTTTAGCAAATATTGAGTTGCTACATCTCCTTTTGCATCAAGTTGATTTTAATGAAAGGAGGACTCTGTTGATTTCAGGCTTCTACCTATTCAAACACAATGATTATACTAATGTAAGGTTAGTCATAACTTCACTGACTACAAAACAACATCAGTGTAACTTGAGATTAACAGGTCTTCCTGAGCATTCATTAAATGCTCAGTTTGTTTTTTTTTTTCTTTATGAAAATATAGGGCATTTGTACAATGCCAAAACCCATAAATAATACAGGCCTAGACACTAACATCAAATCAGTAACTGTAGATAGCTTAACCCATTATGAAAACATTGAGTATAATGTTAGTGTTGGCCCTAAAATTTTACTCCCCCACATGAGAACTTAGTGACAAATGTTTTGAGAAGACTACAGTTGCAGAAATTTGCATTTGCACCATAAGAATCTGATCAATGTATTGTACATAGGAAGGAGTAAATAACAAATTACTTGTTTTTATAAAGGCCGTATGCCCATGCTTCTGTCTTATAGCAGCATAATAGGATCAAAAATGGATGCAGGACAGAAGACAGTCACATCTGTTATTTTTTCTGTATCACCATAGACATTTATTAAAATGTTCAATAAAATTTTATTAGATAATATTTCAAACAACAAGCCTGTTCAGAAGTTTAACATCTAATGTGTGAGTTCAGAGGATATGTAATCTGGTCTAACTGTGAGTTGATACCAAAGCCACAGTATCACTCCTCCCTCTTGCATCCAGCCGTGCATGCCTGCCCTCCTTTGTATTTGATTTTGTAATTCTGATTTAGCAAATGAGGCTATTCAACAAACTGATCCAAGAGAAAACATGTACTTTTATTTTTGGTAACAAATTTCTGTTTGATCTACTTACTGATCTGATTTACCTTGTGAACTATAATTGTCAGACTTGGTGCAAAGGAATCAACAGGAACTCATGCTGAGGAGCTGTTTATCACAGCCACAGTTAAACATGATTTGTTAAATGTGCATTGTAGGAGATAATTTGAAAAAAAACCCAACCTACTAATGCAGAAACTAAGAATTAGGAGCAAAAAAAAAAATTCCATAATGTATCTGCATTACAGGAAACACGAGTTATTAATTTGCATTATAGTATAGTAACGAACTGGGGTTTCTGACGTCAATATATCACATCAAGATGCTTGACTCTCCCTGGTTGTTTTCCAAATATGAGCCACTGTTCTCTTCATAGCAGATATATTCCTACCTGTAACATTTGTGTTTCCAGAAGCAACAAAGCTATCGGTCATATCACCAAAGATTACCATCGCAATAGGTAGACTGCTTCCATGGGCTACTGCCAGGAGAGTGCCTACTATCATTAGTAATTTATCCGACCAACTGGAGTACCGAAACTGTGAGTGAGAAGAGAAATTCATTTTAATTGTGGTATTAGAACGCTAACACAATGTTATGTCTACAAAGGCAAGAAAGTCAAGAAAAAGCTATCAATTGCACACCTAGTGTCACAAAACTACACCTTTATCTGATTAGAAATTAAGTTTACAAACCAATTTAAATGTATAGGAATAAGTCATTCTAATATAAGCACTTTTATGCTGTAAGCTCTCACAACCAGAAAAGTGTAGTATTTTAATGTATCAATATCTGCACCTGGGTAAGAAAGGCCATATGAAAACAAGGCATAAGAAATTTGCCCTTTTAAAATTTGCTATTTAAGGTTCAAGTTATAAGAAATGTCAATGGCATTGTGGTAATTAATGCAACAATTACTTTTACTGTAAATCCAGTATTATGCAGTCAGAAAAACTGTTCCTAATGTACCGTAGACATCACAAAAACTTACTGAAATCCTAAATACCTCTTACTATGAAACTTAATAAATTTTTACCTCATCTGTTACAAAATCATTGGCTTTATTCTATACTGTAAATTATTGAGTTTACTGGTGTAGATTATAGAGGTACGATGTAATTGTAAAAGTGCAAGCTGGTGCAGCATAGCAAAGAAATTGGGCATTGTCCAGCATCATGGGCTATAGTTTTATTTCTGTTATTTGCCATATCATTGCTGCTCATTATGCACACTAAACCCACAAAATAGAAAACATTTCAGTATTAATAAAAGAGGACATAGAATTTATTTTGATTAAATATTAACAGATTGCCTTATTTTAAAATATACAGTAAATTAAAAATTTCTGGAACTTAAAGTACTTTTTAATACACAATTTTTAATTATAAGTTTCATCAGTCCCATGGAGTTGCACTTTATTGCTGATGCAGGTGACTGAGTAATGATTAATGCGGCTAATCAGTGTGATTAATACTTGACTCAGGTAATTTAGAGGACAAGACGACACACAATCTTAGGTATGTGGATGGCTTTTCATTGTGTCAGAAGAAATGAATGAACATGGAAATCCCCATGTTTCACAAACAAAAATCTAATACAGGTGTATTTAGCATGGTAACTTCCTAAGGAATTGCTAAGAATCCATATCAGTAATAAGAGAGCTTGTTTCATAAAACTACGTCCACACAAAGAACTCCTTGATTGCTATACTGTATCCAGTGTTCTGTAATATCAAAGTATTTGGTAGAGACAAGACCATATATGTGGTACTCTAACATAAGGTTAACCATGTTTTGTTTACACTTTGAAATGTGCATGCATCTATACATATACATGTACACATGTATAGAGAGAATAAATCTTACCAGTGTTAACGGGCTGACCATCTTAGGCTTTTCCGCTTTCTTCTTCTTCTTTTCCTTGCTTAAAAGGTATGATAGTTTTAGTGCATTTAAAAAGCGACATTTCACAGAAATACTAATGCAATGTACTAATGAAGTTTAATTAAATATGATTATGAAATAATGTTACAGGAAACAATTGTGTGTAAAATGAATATGATTTATTAAGCATTCTTTGGATGTTTGTATTTAAACCTCCAGGTATATAAATAGCATCAGCTCCTGACTGCTATGAATTTCAGTTCTTCCCAGTTCACCCCTCTTAAGGGTACAACAACACCAATAAGGACTGGTGGTTCCACTGTCTGATTAGGAAAGTTGTGAACTGAAGCAAAATATAGCTTTCAAAATGGGAAAGCAGAAGATAACTTATAAAATCAGTTTTTTACACATGGGGGATGGGGAACAAACACAATGTTCAAGGTATGTAAAACACTGATTCCCTTCCATGCTAAAAATTTAACATAATTTTTAGCTGATGACATAATTGTATCCAAGATGTCCATTCTAGCATAATTTCTGTCATATTTTAGAATTGTTTTCAATAAACTGTAGTCAATACTGTGGACACTTAGTCCTTAAAAGAAAAAGATCCTTCTGCACCAAATTAATGTGTCAATCAATGTCACTCTGAAGTAGATAAAAAGCTTTCTGTTATTAGGCTTTCCTGATAAAATCAAGTAAAATGAAATTAAACACAAAAGAAAATAAAATCTAAAATAAGATAATGTAATCTTATAAGCTTCAATACCAAGCATGTTTACAATGCTTAAGAATACTTACTGTTTCTTTTCAGATTCCTCGCTCTGGCTGGATGCAGTGATCTCATAACTATTTCCATCTGCAGTATGCTTCTGCTTCTTTTCATCTTCAGAATGCATTTTAAATTTATTTAAGATAGCTCCCTGTAAAATAACATTTGACTGAGAAATATACAACCATTAAGCCAAGAAGAGCAATCTCAATAACCATTTGTTTGAAAGAAAAACATAGATTCTTGTTAAAATCAGTAAAGTTATTAATGTCATACATTGCAAGTGAATCCTCATAATGGGCAAGTATAAACATGTTGGAACAAGTCCAAATGTTTCGAGTTTGCCTACAAACATCTACATTTTGTATTTGTACCTGTTTGATAACTCTGGGTCCTTCATTTAATTTCATTTGAACGATACAAGCATTATTTTTTCCGCAGTTCAGCACAGATATGCAAAATAAATGAAGAAGTAGATGTTTATTTAAAAGAATATGCAGTTATTTAGAATTTTGCCAATTTTAGTTATCAGTGAATTTTATAAAATACCTCTATTTAAAAAAAAAAAAATATTGACTTACCGTGAATGTTGTTCTTGGTTTGCGTCTAGTTCTCTGAAAGATTATTCAAAAATCAGCAGAATTAATATGGTTAAGGACACGCAGCATGATTGGACTTTGCTCTTGTTATGTAAAACAGAGATGATGAACAGCTTTCTAATTTTTTTCACATCTCTATTGCCTCACCTACTTTGGAGAGTAAAGTGTATGCACTTTGGCCTCTGTTTCTCTTTTCCTAAAGGAAATATTTAGCAAACAAGGTCCTTAAATAAACGCTTATTTCATTGTCACCAGGGAAGACAAGCCTGAATAGTCGATTCTTCCACCAGGAAAAGTTTTGACTACGATAGAGTAAATTTTCTTCATAGTAGCTAGCACGGTGGTATGGTTTGGATTCGTGCTGAAGAGTGTTGATAATACAGAGATGTTTTAGTTACTGCTGAGCAGTGCTTACAGTGTCAAGGCCTTTTCTGCTTCTCAAATCATCCTGCCAGCAAGGAGGCTGGGGGTGCACAAGAAGTTGGGAGGGGACACAGCTGAGACAGCTGACCCCCACTGACCAAAGGGATATTCCACACCATATGACACCATGCTCAACACACAAAGCTGGGGAAGAAGAAGGATGGTGCAGACATTTGGAGTGATGGCATTTGCCTTCCCAAGTAACTGTTACATGTGATGGAGCCCTGCTTTTCTGGGGATGGCTGAACACCTGCCTGCTGATGGGAAGTAGTGAACGAATTCCTTGTTTTGTTTTGCTTTGCTTGTGTGCATGGCTTTTGCTTTACTTATTAAACTGTCTTCATTTCAACCCATGAGTTTTCTCACTTTTATGCTTCTTATTCTCTCCCCATCCCACCGGGGGGGAGTGAGCTAATGATTGTGCGGTGCTTACTGTGGTTAAGCCATGACAAGTTCCCCTTATCTATTGTTGGCTTAATCATTCCCCTTAGAACTCCCAGGTATTCCTCTCTACTTTATTAGAGATGGTACTGAATGCTCCAAGTAACTGTTAGACTTCAGGATTAATCCATTCTTGAATGCTCAGTCAGCATAAAACCAAAGAACACAAAAGGAGTGTTTTACTCTTCCTTCTTTTCCCTTCTTCTAAGTCTAATCAGAAAAAAACATTACTCATCTAGCCTGAAAGAAAGCAGGATTTTACTACAGTGCATATTGTTTCTCATTTGAGTAACTGCAGGACAGCAAGATGAGTTTCAGACTCAGTTTAGAAATGGTTTGGAAATAGCTATGGTCAGCAGAAATCTCTGTAGGTCTCCTATCACTTCACTCAGACAAAACTTACTTAATCTCATAATTAACCAGAAGAGATATTTTTTGTTCCTTTTAGCCATGCTTACCTGTAAGTATGTCAAAATTTTGATAAAACTGTGTACATTTACAATGTTTTGGAATACAAAGTTTGTTATAAGAGTGACAATTGCTTTAGAAAGGGTAGTTTACTATTGTCAGTTAAGCAAAGTACAAAGGGTTAGTAAATATAAGTATTATCTGTTTATGAAAAGTCATCTTGATGGGACTTCCTGGGTTTTACCTTGTGTGCCTAAGTGCTGGACTTGATCTTAATGGATTGGCCCAATTTCAGGTAAAGTCTGCTTTTCAATTTATTTCAGTAGGAACTGAATAAAGTTGAATGAGAGACTCTAAAGTCAATTGATTTAAACAAATGAAACAGTTTCAAAACTGTTTCACCTTAAAGGGAAAATGGACAAAACTACAAGATCTGTCCCAATGTTCTGTTACCTCACTGCAATATCTTAATGCTATTACAGTATAAGCATGATAAGAAAGTGAAATAGAAATAAATCAGGATACCAATTTGTACCAGAGTTTCTATTGCCTGCATTACAGTATTGCAAAGAAAATGAAAGACTGTTTTACAGCTATTTTTATCATACTAGGAGCTGAACCAACTAAAGTGGTATTTTAAAAGTGGGAAAATTTTGCATCTACTTAGTAAGCTACAAAAGTCTGTTATTTCTCTATAGCTTCTGTACTTTGACTTTTCAGTGATATAGCTTCACAGTTGCACAGAATTTAAGGCCAGAAAAAGATCACTAAATCTTTCTTCTAATCTCTTCTATCTCATGGTTTGCTATTTTTTTTTAATATTTTTTGCTATTTGCTATACTATTCAAATATTTCCATGTTAAAACTGATAATTTGAGTTAGCTCAAAGGTCATAGATTGGTCACCTCTGTTTAAATCCATCTTCTGTGGGAAATTCTGTGACTAGTAAGGAGAGTGAGAAAAAGAAAGGTTTTCTTTCTTCTTGGACTTCTGAGTGAACAGGACACTCCACTTTCAAGATGTTCAGAACATCTTTACTTTGCATTAAGTCAATGTCCATTTGATACAGAAAATATCTATATGAGATTTCATGCTTCAGGGCTTCAGCCAGAAATCTTCCTTCATGACATCAAGGGTTGGTTAAAGCTGGGGGTAAGTTACTGATTAACCAATTCATGCTGAGAGAATCTCATCCCACAAATCATGCATTGGTTTCATGTATTTGTTTTATCTGATGCCAGCCAGCAAAGGGGATGACCAATTGACACATGATATCAGAATAAACAACTGACACAGAAACATTAATCTAACTTTGACATCAGAGTCAAAACATTGTGAAATGATGGCATGATACCTTCTAAATTTTTTTGAATATAAATAAAAACTGACCTTTTTTAAGCTTATCAAAAAAAATAGCAAACAAGACAAGAAACTGAAGCAAATACTTCAAAGCCTTTATATATTATAACCAGAGATAAAGACACCAACTATTTTTTCTTTTTTTTTCCTTTGAAGATGAAGAGTTGGCTTTTCCAATGAGCTCCAAGTAAGTGAAATGGTGGAGAGGGCCCCAGGAATCCTGTAATGATTCCTCAATGACATTCAGCCCCAGCATAGGTTAGAACAACTGTGAAGAAGCTCAGATTTATGATACTTGGGGAACTCCTGTTCCATTTCAGCAGCTTCTTTCCTGTTAATCCGTACTGGAAAAGAATACTACTTTGTACAGGAATTTTGCCAATTTGTCCAGTGTTCTGACAACAAAAATTGTCCTATACGAAAAGAATTATCACACAGTCAGAAAATGACAAATTTGTGTTCCTTGAACCACGTTGTATGCTCAGCCACGAGATGCCGCCTGTAGAAATCACTAGGTATCTTATTTGTCCCGGACTAAGCATGAGGCCAAATTAAGTTATTGTAAGGATCGGGCTTCTATTTGTGTTTAAAAAGAAAGTCTACTCTAATGTTTTAGTGACATTACAAAGCTCCACTTTTATTGTCTGGTGATTTGAAGTCAATTGTTTATTCTACTAAGGGGGACAACCACAAACTAATGTCACTAGCTTCCTATTAGTACTGTATCAGTTTTCAGCTTTACAGACTCAGCCCCATTTCTGAAATCTTCAAATTTTTTTGGCTTATACTTAACCAACAACAGAAAATCCAGACAAATCTACAACTCACTTTGAGATATATTTCCTAAATATGGAAAACAACTTTCTTGGTCTTTAGTTATCACTGAAATTATTAAATATGACTCAAAGTTGCATTAATGTCTGAGGAGATAATATTTTTATAATAATTGCTTGCAGTATAGTCACATTTAAAACAGGATTTTTACTAGAGTTATAACAGAAAAATTTATTTAATTGGAGTAGTATTTACATTTGTCTTAGACTTAGTAAGATTTCTTAAACTATTGAAAGCGGGATTAAAAAGTTTTATCTTTCTAGAACATGAGCAGATGCTTTCACCCTCGGCATATCTAGAAAAACAGACGCCTTTTGAATCTGGAAAAACAACATGTATTAATTCAAATAAATATAATATAGAACATTAGGGATTTAAATTTTTCAGGACTTTGTTACAGAGTTTACTGTATTTAAAATGCTAAATGAAAAACATGGAAAAACAATAATAAGAGTGACTTTTTGCGTAGGTGGAAAACATTTTTCCCTATTGAAGTTGAACAAAACATATATTAGTACAAACACATCTGATTTTTTTTCCTGATAATTTTTCTAGCCAATTGTATGCCTGGTAATATTGTAACAGTGCAATTAACCAAGGAACATGAATGAACTTTCATCCTTCCCTCACTGAATATCTTTGGACACCTTTGGCCATGCACAAAGAGCCTTTGTAAGCTGAATATACACAACTTCCCAATTACTGATCAGTTACTAGACACAAATGATAACGTGAATTAATGAAATACTAAACTGAGTGTTACTATGCTCAGTGCCCTAAATAAGGAACAGAAAAAGTTTTTGCTGGCCAGGAAGTTCCCAGTGAGGTAGGGTAGGGCTTGTTTTTAATGGATCTTCATTGTGACTGAATTGCTGTCTTTCAAATCCCTGCTTTTCCCTTAGGTTTTTACTCCTTTCATTAGGATGTTTTTCATCTTGAATCCTTGAACGGCTGCCTAGCTCCATCTTACAAGTCTTACCTCTGTCTGCAGTTTTACCTCTCTTAACTTGCAGAAGTCTACCTGTTGCAGTTTGACCTGGCTGGCAACCAAACACCCTCATCCCTCCTGGGGAGAGAATTAAAAGGAGTAAAGGGAAAAAGAGACTCGTGGGTTGAGAGAAGAACAATTTAATAACTAAAATACAATAAAATAAAAAATAATAATTATAATAATAACAATGATAATAATTATAATAGTATACAAATATACAAATGAGTGAAACACTGTGAAACTGTTCAACATCCATTGACCAAGGCTCAGCCCATTCCCTGCTAATGGTTCCAGAGCAGGGAGAGTCCCAAAACCACAATCCCGGAAAAGAGATAAGAGCCTGATTGTCCAAGAGAGTGAGAGCCAATTGAGAGACTGAGAGATGACCAAGAGAGCGAGAGATGTCCCTGAGAGAGAGAACTTCTGGACAGAACCTCATCTATATGCTGGGCATGATGTGCATGATATGGAATATACCATTGGCCAATTTGGGTCTTAATCCTAAACCTAAGGTTGAATCCTAAACCAGTAATTGGGGCTGTGCTCCCTCCCAGCTTCT